TGGCGCCTCCGCTGCCCTTGGGGGACCCTGGGGCTTGCGGGGCAGGGGCTGCGCCCTCTGATTGGCCTGGGACCTCGAGCCCCTTTCTCCCATTGGCTTGTTTTGGGGGGGAGGATCGCGCCCCTTTCTCTGATTGGCTGCTGGTGGGGGGATACTTTGAATGGGTGCATGTTGTGGGGCTGCTGCAATGGGGGTCTAGTGTCTGGCCCCTGAGCGAGGTTGCCCAGGTGGGGGGTCCTGGGCCCAGCCCAGTCTCAGGCCCTGGGGGGTCTCCGTCCCCTGGGGGGCGCCCAGGTATAGCTGCTGGAGGGGCCACATGTCGCCCAACGTGGAGGAGCAGCGCGGCCCTCTAAGACATGTCCGACTGGGGGACCGGGTGACGTGCAGCTCATGATTGTGCACTTCCCCCCCTTGCCCAGCTGCCCTGTTGCTGTGGGGCTCCCTCTCCCTCCTCCCCTCCCCTCCCACCACGTTCTGCGTGGGGCAGGGGCAGTGCAGCTGGGAGCTGGGGGTGAGTCTGGGGGAGTCAGGAAAAGGGGGGATGATGCCTCAGTACTGCTTCAGGAGGGTGCACGTTGCGCAGGGACTTGGCCCATCTGCCTGCCACGGCAGGGGTGGTGCCTGAGGGCGATGGTGAGTCTATGTGGCGTGCAGCGCTGGGCACGTAGAAGTTGGGCAACCCTGCTCTAGATGATGGCTGCCCCAGCAACACTGCAATGGGGATCCTGGGATAGTGGTTGCCTTTCCCCATGTTTTTGAGATTGTGTTGATTTTTTTTGTTGGGGACCGTCACTACCTGGTTGGTGCAGTGGTAAGGTGACACTTTACAACAAGCCCATGTATTGGGGTGTTTGGCATAATTGCAATAGGTGTTGGAGCAAGGAAAAAGCGCTCAGGAGACTTTATCCGATCACTGCACGCACTCGTGTGTTTGTATTTAGCATGTCATGCCTCGGATCCTCTGGAGGCCTGGCAAATTATAATCATGCATACATCTCCAGCTAAGCAAAAGGCACTTATGCAGCATAATGTATTTGCAGTGTATTGCGTGCTAAATATTGAAGTTGTTTCTGAAAGAGAAGTCGAAGGTGTAAACTCCATCAAGGGAGTATTTGTCTTGGTACCAGCTCATGCATCTTTCCTCATCAGTTTATTGCTTTCTACTATATTTTCTCTATATGTTGCGGAAATGCTGCAGCTTGACCTTTGTAACTTCAATGGAATCTGAATCTCTGAGGTCAGACTGGCAAAGCAGCTGAGTGATGGCGTGCATACAGTAGCCAATAGACAACTATTACTTTGCATAAATCAGGCATACAAATTATTGGCAAAACGGTATAGAAAAAAACGAGATATCAGTGTTTTGATGGATTTAACCACTGAATAGATTGATGCAACTTCAGTATTTAACATGCAGTACATTGCAAATGTATTATGTTGCACAATTACCTATTTCTTACTTTGAGATGTGTCTTTTGTTATACGTATTTATATATGGTGTTTTATCATTGTTTTAATGGGAATAAAAGCTACAGCACCTGTATGGTTTCCCCATCTCTTTACGAATGTTTCACTTTTACAGTTATTTGTTGGACTGCTGGATATGCTTGAAATGTTTGCCAAAATGCAGGTCCTTATTAAAATGAGCTGTTGTAGATGTTTTTTTCTGTAGTCTGTGTCTTTATTATGGAAACACAGTAAATATCAGCTCGGCTAACTCCTTCGTTCTTAATAATTAAAAATATGCATATTATTCAAACTGATCCTAAATTAAAAAAACATGACTCCTGAATTGTTGGAATTGTACCCTAGAGATGTGTTCACTTTTCCCAGTGAACCCTTGAGACACATGAATGGACTGTTAGTTCAGTGGACACCCATAATTATTCACTGAGTTAAGTATGTGGAAGCATCTTTAAAAAGCTATGTTTGTATGAATTCGATAGTGCCTTGTATGTATGGCTACTACTAATGTATTAAATTTGACAAGATTGTGTAATGAAACCTGTGTTTATAGCCAACAGCTGTCTCCAAGCACTTGCATTACTAGCTTTCAAAGAATATCTCTGCACGATCTCCTCTATATTAATTTGCAGTGTAATAAGTAGCCACCTTTATAATGTGTTTCTGGCCACCTGCAACCATTGCCAGCTGTGCAAACTGAATTGTAATTGACTTGTTAAGGCAGCTGGGGAGTGAGGCTGTTTTAAGATTAGGGATTTTGTTTTTAACTGGAAGATGTTAATGGATCAATTTGCCGCTCTTATTTATGGGTTATCTGAAGCATACAGAAGTGAAAGTGCACTGTAGTCCATAAGTGGAAGTACCTTGAATAGCCTTTTCTGACATGCTGTAGTAAGCACCCACCTGCTATAATTGACAAACAGCATGGAAAATCAAATCATTCTAATGCACAGACTCAATATTATTTTGAATCTTTGTGATAATCCTGATCACTTCAGGTATGAAGTTGGAAATGACTGCTTTCTCCTGATTTTTTGTTTGTATGTTTGTTTTCACTTTCATCAGGGAGCCATTTTGCAGTCTCTTAAAGGTTCAAGCTACACACCTGTGATAGTGCCACAGCTTTTGTCTTCCCAGCAGTCTGAGGGGTTTAAAACTATTGACTTAACTGAGAGAGAGAAAAAGGAGAAATGGCAATTAAGGCTGCATGTCAGGCAGCCAGGGGCAGATTAATACTTAATTTCTAAATGTTTTAGGGGCCCCACAGGCTAGATACAATGGCCTGGCAGGTTGCATCTGGCCCCTGGGCTGCATTTTGCCTACCCCTGGGCTAGCACATTTCTATCCTGTCCTTTTTTCAAAGCCTTTGTGCGTCGTGTTTTAGATATTCTGTACACAGCACCTCAGGGGCACATATTTGGCAATGACCTTTATTTTCCTTTTTTTTTTTATATAAACTATAAAGCAAGTACATCTTTTAATCATTTAGTTTCCTTGTTATACTACTTTCATATTTATGTGTTTGGAAAAATGTGATAGACAAAGGTCCCCCTTCCTCAAGTGTGACAGGCCCAGAGGCCAGAAACATGCATGTCTTGGTGAGATCAGAATAGGAAGTTTTTGAGGAAGAAGTGGGCATGATGGAGGCTGTACCAAATTAAACAGGGAGTATAAAAATCAGGAGGCCAAGAACTGGAGTGAGAGAGCTGTTACAGGGGTAGATATGTAGTTGAATAGCAACTGAAAAGAAGGTGGATGATAAATGAAATCATAAACTCTGGCAGGAATTTGGTTGATGAAGTCACTTTAGTCCAAAAGAGGCAAGGATTGTTTCAGAGTGTTAGTGAGGTAAAAATCACAGGTGGTAGAGGAAATCATATTTCTTTGTAGGCAGAAGATTTTTTGCCATAATTCATGGTAGTCAGTTTGTAGGATCTGCTTTTTGAAAAACACCTCCTCATTAGGATGTTTGTCTGTCCTCCTGGGCCTCATTCAGAGCATTGATTCTTTATATTCAGTGGTATAAATGAATAGATTTTAGCAACGAATCTAATAAACTGTGGGAGAGTGTTTAGGAACATCATAATGTAATTGTAGGTACTCAGATTATATGATGATGGATGTGATAAAAGTACTTGGATAGATCAATCCATTACACACAATTTGAGTAAAAAACTGTTTGTGTTTGTCTGAATTATTTTCTTTATTATACAGCTGAATAAATTGCAGCCATTCCTCCTTCCATGGAAATAAATAGACTCTCTTGTCCCAGCTGTATGTGTCATTTCCATCTCTAGCCCACCAGTAAAATATAAATACTGTGATCATGCATTACCTGATTAGCATCCAGCCAAAATGCACTAGAGCCAGAGTTCCTTGAAGCAATATGAGCATTTGATGAATGAGAATGCAGAAGAAAGACAGCAGTCTTGACTCAGTAGTCAATGAGGTTATAAGCCTATTGTACTTCCCAGCCTTTTTGCTGATATAAGAGCAAATTCTTGCCAAAGGATCTCAGGAAATGCACTAGTTTTGCCTTTTAGGTGTGCTGGGATAATTAACTTAAGTGTAGGATAGAGTTTCTTGTGGACACATGTAGTTCTACTTTTGTGCATGATAAATCATTCTTATATTAAGAGCTGGAAGAAGACCAGCAGCATAATTCAATATCAAACCTAGCTTTTATAGCTATCTTGCATATGGTTAGCAGTGAAAGAGAGTGCTTAGTGCTCAGCGCATGTAGCATTAAGTTAATAACCATTGCTGTTCAGGGGATCCCCACCTGTATGCAGACCTCTTCCATACCCTAGAATAAATCACACCAGCCCTTCCATGCACCAGTTTTGTAAAAGGGATTTTCATTTGAGGTACTGCAGTGTCCTGTGACTTTCTGAGCTGAAGGTGGCTCATTCCTTTAGCCAGCTCCAATCTTCTCCCATGCTTATCTTCTTGGAGCAGGGACAACAATACATTTTGGAAGCCACAGAATATTACTTTCTCTGTCTCTAAAAACATTCAAAGGGCCCACTACCCTCACTGTCAGGATACGGCTGTAGTTCCCCTGCGTATTCCCATTGTTGAAAGCAAACATCTCTCCCCAAGTGCAAATAAACAGCATATAAGAGCATATAAAGGAATATAAATAGACACCACTCTTGAAGAAATATAGCTACTGTTCAGTGTTTTTGTTGTCAAGAAGGCCCTCATCAGAAACTCTGGGAAGAAGAAAATAAACATTGAGCTTAGTCCAGGATAAAAATGCTATCTCCAACTAAATGACTTTGATTTGAGAACAGGTCTACACAACATTAGGCTGGCAAGGGAGTGTGAAAAAATGTAAATTCTTAATTTCTGCAGTTATGCCAGTAGTCCCCTTTCTTCCCTACCTGGTGTGGATAAAGCTATATTGACAGAAAAGCACCTTTGGGGGATTTTTCAGTAGAGCCATGCTGGCAAAGCTGTTACCAGTAAAGCCTTTGTATTATTGACTATTTCTGCTTTCCTTGCAAGGAGATGAAAGAAACTGCTTTTTTTCTGCTTCCCTAACCAACTAAAGGAGAAGAAGGACTTGTGCGGCCAGGCTGCCGTAAAGTAGGTCTTTGCTCCGTAGACGGTCACATACCTGGGTGAAGCTGACCAGCAAAGCGTTCTTCTTTCATGATCTGTCCACGCTGAGCTAAGCAAGCTATTCCAGTGAACTTGCAGTTATGCCAGGATAGCTTCTGACAGCAGAGCTGTATCCGTCAAAGATCGTTCCTCTTCGTACCCTGACTGACAAACCTGTGCTGGCAGAAACTAATGGGGTAGGTCCAGTGCTGGGACCCAGAGTAACTGTGGCGTAGTCTTAAAATTAACACCTGGTATAAGGCCCAATTTAACGTTACTAAACATAACACCAGTTATACCAGCAAAATTGCATTTTTGCCAGGATAGTTTGTTTTCCTTGGGATGGTGTAGCAGCCAAGCAGCTCAGGATGCATCAGGGTTTGCCCATAGAGGTTAAGCCAAATGAACTGAAGTTGTGACTTTAAAGTGTTTTGGGTAAAGTGCATAGACCTCTGTCTAGATGCTCAATCAGAAGTAAAGTTGGCTTTAGCTTAATTCAGGCTGTGCCCATAGTTTGGCCGGCCAGGCAGGAGGCACTAAATCTCATTTGTTAAAGTGATGTCCTTTCTCAGAGTTAGCAATAAACGTAGCCTCTCTTAGACCCTTTGGTAACAAAGGGGCACTCCATATCTTTGTTGAACGGAGTGGATCCATCAGAATGGAGTTTCAGCCTTCTTCCTTCTCAAGAATTTAGGGCAAACCAGTATTGGATCTGTATGCCTCCATAAGCAGGAGCAATATAGTGTACTTTGTATAAATGTGCGTAGCCTCAGGACTGAAAAATAGGCTCTGCACATACCCAAACATAATTTAAACAACATTCATCCTTGGTCCTGTGGTATTAACAGCTCCCAAACTGATTAGCTCCCTTCATTTTCAGGGCTTATGATGGTTTTAGGGCTACTATTGTAAGACTTGAAAATGAGTGGAGATATTAGACATGAAATTTGTTGGCTCTCATCATTTCCAAGATTTCCAGTACCAATCCTTAGACAGCTGCTTCCCCTTTCCCTTTTCTGGTACCAACTCTTATGCAGATATACATTACAAAGTAGATGATGGGCTTGAAAGATGCTGTGCACACAAGTGGTTTATGCACTTAGCCAGGGTGCAGATAACTGATATGTGTTGTAATGTAGGCAGTAGGCAAAATATTGGGACTGGCACTGTGGTATGTGTACAAGTGGAGTACACTATAATACCACAATACCAAACCCAGGGCTTTGAGTACACCCCTCATTTACTTGTATAAGCTGCCAGCAAGACTCTTAACTGGGCTGTGGTTTTGGTTATGTAGATAACTGGTTTGCTGAAATCTGAACTAAGAGCACTTTGAAGTCCGTAGGACAGCTCTTGGGTCAAGATTTCAACCCCCATCAATAATTCACATCCCAGTAATCCAACGGTAACAACTCACAGCCCCCAAAGAAGCTGGATTCAAGCTAGCAGACTAGAAATGAAGCATGCTGTTCTCCACTGCTAGCTTCTCAAATTTTCAGGTGTTCAGAAGGATGTGTTTTTGTTTGCTTTTTTACTTATTGTGCACTTCTCTGGTATGGAAAATATTTAAATATTAGCATATCAATTTTCCTGTAAAGGACCGATGGTACTGGCAGAATTCACTTGTAGATAAAGGTATGTGGGCATTGTAACTCCAAAAGTAGAAAGTATTCTGTGTATCTTAAATAAAGATAAAGCAGCCTGTTCAAATGCCTGTTCATCTCTTAATTGAATTATTATTTTCCAGAAGTATAATGTTAGGGTCCTGTGATTGAGAGAATTAGTTAAGGGGGGAAATTAAAAATTAAAAGCTTGTGAGTGTTTAGCAACTAATCCACTACACAGCTCCTCTCCCTGGCATTGCAGTATCAGCAATACTGAAGTCACAGGGATCCGTTTTCATTCTCTGTTGCATCAATACATGGTTGATTAGTTTCTTTTTCTAGTGAAGTTTTCTTAGATTAGGGCCTTACTGAATGCACTACCTGAATCGATGCAACTATAGCTCTTTGTGCATCAGGACTCCTGAATACATTCCTCTCAGCACATTCTTTTTTTTACCAATGGTGGTACAAAAAAGACAGGTCTCTTTCCTTTCTCTTTGACCTCCCTTATGCCACCAGTGACACAGACAGTGCGCGTTCTTTGCATTGGACATTGAGGGAATCATTATTCAGTGTATCAAAAAAGGAATACAATGCGTCTTCCTTGAGATTCAGGGTTTTTAAGTCAATGCACTAAAAGCTTCCATTATGCTAATTTTTTTGTCTTGTATATATTATCCTAAAATCCTTCCATTTCTTCTTTTAATGATGGAAAGTAAAACAGAAATAAATGATTGAAGCCAGTACAGCAAAACTTTTATCATCTGGAACCCAGGAGCTAACGCAGGTGTCTTGCTGTGATGAACTGAAATGCCATGTTTTTCTGCCTAATCATTGAGTTTGTAGCACAAAATGTGCCTATTTTGGGTGAGGCTGTTGCTGGATTGTACGTTCAGGAAAGGGGCAATGGGTGTTTTGTAATGGGGCAGCTGGTGGAAGGTGCCGCTGTGGGTTAGGGATGAATCTGTTGGGTATTGATGTGTTTGGTTTGGGAGCCAGCCCAGAATGCTAAATGTGGGTAGGGGGCTTGTGCTAGGGATGACAACACTGACAAAGGGACTATTGGATTCAGGATGGGGATGCTTCTACTCCTGGCCAGAGCTTAATTCAGGCCATATCTTTTTCCCATGCTCCAGAGCTGAGTGCAATGAAAGATGAAAGCTTTACTAGAATTGGTTAGGAGTGGGAGCAGAGCAGGAAGAGAGTGGCTGGAGACATGGCACCCAAGAAGACAAGAACCTTCCTGGGTCCTGCTGCTTCCTGACTGGTCTATTCAGCTCCTAGTACAGGACCACACATCACTCAGAGGCCTGGGTTTAACTCCACATTTTGTACCTTTTTAGCTTTCAAAGTCGTTTTGGGGGTGCTCGCTCATATTTGGCTTCACCTCAACCACCCTTTCAATTTTTGAGGACTATTACTGCTAATAGAATAAACTGTATTGTCTGTCACCTTTCCAAAAAATTTGCGGAATTAATATAATTGCTGTTACAAATAACACATGGCACAGCTAAATAATAAAATGGGAAAGCAAAGTCAGACAGTATCAAAAGTGTAAAAATCGATTTCTGGGTAAGACTTCAAAAGGTATGGAGAATTACTCAGGCAAAGATGCCCAGAGAAACTTGCCAGATGGCAGAAGCTGCAAAATAGAAGCATCAACTTTGATGAGATCTTGGAATGGACAAAAAAAAAGGCAAGTGTTAAAAAAAGTGGGACAAGGTCTTTGACTCTGGCAAGAGTAAGTTCCAAGAGAGTTTCAAGACAAGGAGGACAATTTTAAATTGCATCCAAAATGAACAAAGAGCTAGTGGAGTGGCTGGAGGATTTTGTTGATTAAGTTGCATTTCTTTACACGTTTAGGAGCAGTTGTCATGTACTGACACCTGGAAAGCTGGATGCAGGGTTTGCACCAGAACAGAATAGGGGGTTAAATAGTCAAGGCTGATCATTTCATGAGCTCTCTCTTGTTGGAGACTGCTCGCAGGTATACGGATACATGTACACAAAACAGTATTGTGGGAGCTTTCCTAAAAATAAAGGAAAATGTGTGGGTTTTCTCCTCATCTGCTTGGTTGTTTCTGCCACATCCTATTGATGTGTTGCTTTCACAGTGAGCTGATGTTATGAAGTATTTATATCCATTATCATTGCAGCCATCGTGTCATCACCTGATTCTGTATAGAGTGAGGCATGACTGCTATTTTGAGGAGGGAATTGATCTCTTCACGTCTGCTGTGGCTAGTTTAGCATCTTGTCCACCGGTATTGCCTCCTGCTCACATCACATTCACATAGTTTAGCGTGAATGCAAGCCTCAAAGATGAAAGCAATTGATTGAGTTACCTCTGATCACATAGCATCTGCATTCATCCTTCTGATGCAGCAGAATCTCTCACTGACACTCTAGCATTGCCATTCATATTTTCCTAAGATGTCAAACTTTTACACGTTGTATGGAAAAATGGAAAGTAATTGGAGAGAGAAATACACACAGGTTGAGAATGATCTACAGATGGGTAGTATGGAGAGAGAGCAGAGAATGCTCTCTTATTATATCAGATGTCTGGCTATCCTAGAAAAATGAGATGTCACTTTCAAAAAAGTGTAAAAGCCCAGGAAAATATTTGTGTGAGGTTCATTGATAGCCCTAGCTGTAATGTCAAACTTTACATATAGTTAAACATCCTTGCAAATTTGTGCATAGACTTTTGTGCAGATTATTGTTATATATAGTCTTTATGTAGGCTCTAAGTGGGGCAGATCAACAGTTCAATCACCCTAAAGTGGGACCATCATGAAATAAGTGGTAACTCACTAATTACCACCAGGCTGGCGCAGCGAATTTATTGTAAACAGCTTATTGGATGTACAGCGTACGAAGGAGACTAAGAGTTTTCAGTGCACGTGTCTACATGAGATGCTACATTGCCATAGCGTTGGCAGACAAAAACCAGGATGCCACAACTACATCACTGTAGCCACAAGCGTCTAAAAATAACCATGCAGCTAAATATAGTGCCGCTAAAAATAACCATGTGCCACCAGCAGTAACGGCTGTTACAGTGGCGCCACAGGGGCACATGTATATGTGCCCATTATTAGATGAATTGACCCAGCTCGCTCTACTCTTTAATACTTCCTTAGCCACATTCTAACTTGGGCTTCTATTGCTTTACTATGCATGGAGACAGCACTTGTGGGAGAACTGGGAAAAGTGGAGCGTCTAAGAGTCCGGAGACATTAGAACTGATTTTTTTGTAGGGATTATGGCCGATATTGTGGAGGAATTTGAAGGCAAGAATAGGAGCCTCAGGGTGGTAGGGTTGCCAACCCTCCTGGATTAGCCGGGAGTCTACTGGAATTGGCATTGGTGACTATTGAAAGGAATTTGGAAAATAGATATTGTGAACGGGTTGAACAGTAGCATTAATGACATTGTCACACTGGGGAAAAAAAATCTCCCAGAATAGCTTCAGTCAGAGTTGGCAACCCTAAGGGGTGGGTATCCCATTCATAAAGGCCATCAAGAAAAGGTATTTTGGCCTGTGTCTGCATCAGCCCCCATAAGCTCAGGCTTAAAACCTATTCAGGTATTTCATGGCAGTGTCCCTTTCAGTAATGCAGGGCACAACCTGACTTCCAGCTCGATTGTTTTCATACTTTCTACAGCTGCACATTCTTTTTTCAAAAGTCTTGTTTGCCCAATGAGCATTTGCACTAGCCTTGCAGCCTTGGTGCAGGTACACAGGGTGGGGGGTACTGCAGTGATATAAAAAGTGACTTGCAGAGTCACTTCTGACTTGAAGCCATGCATACCACTCTTTTCCATACAGGTAGCGGATAGATTTGTCCTAGTGGAGCTATGTTGGTGCACAAAACACAAAGCCTAATGGAAAATAAGGAATGCCCTCACTCCTATCAAACTGATTTAGGAGCAAGTTCTTGGAAGACTGACATTCTCTGTTTATCCTCAGAATGCTTCCTGGGTAGCATCAGTAGAAGCTACCCCATACTACACTGCCAATATGTCTTTTCTTTTTTCACATGGCCTGTCTACTGGGAAATTCATTTTCTGTTGCACTTTCAGTCTTTGGCCTCTTGTGCTAAGCCTGTCAAGAAAACTCCCAGCTGCAGTCCTGGTTTGAGCACAATCAAAAATTGCAATCATTTAAACTTTTTTGCCAAATCTTTGTTTGGAAAGCTTAGAAGTAAACCCCTTTCCAGACCCAGTTCTGGAGCCAACAGAGACTTTGGCTTGAACTGTGGTTCCAGGGAGATGTGCTTTGCTGCATATTTTGCCGATTATTGTAGCAATACACACAAAAAACCCTAATTTTATGCCAATTTTTGGCATTTCAGGGATATACACCTTCATCTTGCTAACCAGATTGCTTTTGAGGTAATTAATTAAAAGTAATCAACAAATCCCGCACGCTCCAAGGAGCTGGTGTGCCAAACCAGTGTGATCAAGGATCCTTGGATTCCACACAGGACTTTGGACTTATCACCTAATTGCTCTGCCCTAGCATACTCGTTTTTGTAAGTCAGCTTTGCCCATCTGTAAACAAGTGTGCTCTGATCAAGATCTCGCAGCAGGCCAATTCTTTGGCCAGTGTAAATTAATGTAGCATAGTTCAAGTGCAGCTATAGTAGGCTATTACAGAAGCTGAGTCTCTGACTCATTAATTGTAGAATAATTTTTTCTTGGCTTTATTGAGAACTCACAGAGCCACAGCAAAATTGTAAACCTTGCCCTAAACTTTCTCCTCCAGTTTGGCTTTTTCGGGTGTTTCCTTGCAATGGCTTATCCATCCTAAGGCCAGATTCCCTAGGATCAAATTGGCTCTTCCTCAAGGTCAAAAAGACATTCCTGACACAGTGAGTCAGCAGAGCTGAGTCAGCAACTCCCATCCCAGCTCCAGAACCTGAAAAGCCTCTTTCATACCATCTGGAGCTTGATATATCCATGCTTGCCACTTAATTCAGTCCCTGGCTTGGATAATTAAATCTTTACTAATCAAGTCACGAAATTAAAAATAAAACATCCAACATTTATTTGGATTGTTTTAGGCAGTTATTTATTGGATTAAAAGACTCACTGTTGCTAGTCAAAGTAATTGAATTCCTTATTGCTTAGTTATCACCAATGGCCAAAATACAGAATAAGTTGAAAGAAAGGACTCTCAGGAAAGATAGGCATGATAATAGGAGCTATAACCAAACATGGTGTTGTTCACACTTTGTCATTGACATTAGCAAGGCTGTCATGTTCTACAGAGACCGTTATCTATACACCTTGGTAATCGTATGCCTAACCAACAAAAAAAGGATTCTTTCAATGAAGGGGACAGTAATGCATTTGAAGAAAGCTGTATAAAAATACTTGCTTACATCATAAATCACCATGAGAGAGTTTGGATGAAAGATGGTATAGTGGGGCAATTATTATCTATTTGTAAACTTTTTTTCTACCACTCCTGGGTTATAACATAGATGCTCTGAGTGGCTGGATAGATGATGGTCTAACCATTGTTCAGTGCATCTCCACTTTTATCTCCCTAACAATTTACCTTAAATTTAATCACACGTGGCTTAAGTGTCACTCATTGACTTGTCATTGATTTTTTTTCCCCCTCTTTTGTTCTTTGCCTGCATTATGTTTATGTACTTACTCATGAATGCAGCGTGTCTTTTACTTTTTCTCTAGAGCCTAACGGCGTGAAGCTAACATGAAGTCACATCACACACCCTACTGCAGAAGCATCACGAGCATGTATGTGATGTGTTGCTCAGCGTGGGGGAGCCAGTGGGAGGCTGTTTTCAATATGACGTGCTGTCTAACGGGTCATAAAACCCACTTTTCTGAGTTGCTTATTAAAAATAGAAAGGGTATTGATTTCCCACCCTCACATCATTCAACTGAATGATGTTATGGTGACACTTTTCTGTATCTTGGATTTGTGCCTTCTAGGGAAGGCCTGTACTATGTATGTGCTCAGGTTCCATGGGGCTCCTTTGTTGCTGATGAGATTAACAGAAGGTAGAAGGTGCCTGGGTTCATTCCTTCTTTTTTTTTTTTAGCTTGTCAGCAACAAGCCAAATGCCAGTATTTATGGGAATAAATTATGACTAAAATAATTTGCATTTAAAATGCAAATGAACGAAAGCATCAGTGAGGGGCCTTCTGCTTTCTTCCCGGTGCACAGGCGGGTACTGGCAGCAGCTCAGACCGGCAAGGCAGTCAGTATAAAATAAAGTTAATTGGACTTGCTAAAAAATCAAACAGGCTTGGCCTCACGCTAATACCCAAGTCTGTGATTTAATATGACATTGGAGACGAAGGACTGGGAAGGTGCTGAATGACTGACTAAACCAATCAGCAGAGCTGTAAATTATGCTTCTGAGATTCCCAATGGCAGATTGAGAGGGCCCAATAAAATCACAAGGGTGAATAAAACCTAGCATGGAAGCAATTTGTCAAGATTTCCAGGCTTACATCAATTAGAATTTAAGCTTCATTGTTCTCTCTCTCTCTCTTTCAAAATTTTCTATTTTAGCAGTATCTGAATGCCAACTTGAGAATGCAGATCTGTGCATGGGGAAAGCTGCCTTACAACCAGTTCAACTGAGTGTTGTACCAGAATAAAAAATTAAATTGAGAAAACAGTGGCTCTCTGAACATAGCAGTTTCTTGTCAAAGACCTGGATTTGTTTCTCAATCCCATATCATGATATCTGGGCCATTAGATACTGTGAGAACAGTAGAGGGAACACTGTTGATCCCCTCTGCTGAAGGCAGGCAGTAGCAAAGAGAATCTGATCCCTGGCCCCTCTTAGCTGAAACATGATCGCTGTAATGTAAGGAGCTTGAGGGAGGGGAAGTGGGATGAGCCTTGTTAAACTCCCTCAAAACAGTTACCTCATTCAGTGTTTCAGGAAGGGAAGGTTGCTTCTAAGCAGTTATTTCTGCCACACCTCCTAAAAGTCTCTGCTGATTTCAGTTATTGGTCTACCTACTCATCAGTGGCAAATGGAAAATACAGCTGTATCTAGGAATGGAAACAGAACAAATACGTTAATAAAATCAAGATGTTTCCTCTCCTTATAGTATGTTCCTCCATGTGATAGATAAAAAGGGGATGATAAGGTGTTAATCTTGTAATAAAAAATGACCGTAGTGTATTCAGCCATTTAATATCTTGTCTCTCTGTTCTCTCTTTATAGCCATGTTACAGAAGATCGCCGTGTCCTCTGTGAGTAGAACGGTAGCAAACAGATGAATCTCCAACCGCTGTTCCATTAATTGGTTTGTCATCATGGAGCACCACAACAGGGATGATATGGACTCAAAAGAGGAAAGTCCACAAGTATGGTCTGAATCTGCTGAGCAGGAGCAGAATACTGCTCAGGTGACTAGCTGCTCTGAGAACTCTTTGTAATGACTTTCTGTAGTCGGGCTTGCTTGCAGGAGCTCAGCAAATGGGTAGTTTCTCTGAAGCCTGCCAGCTTCTGCTTCAAAAACTAAGCTTTCATTTAAGAAGTCTCAGCCTGGCCATTATGTTTGCAAAGTTAAGCTTCAGAAAGCAGATGGAGTAGAAGTTAATGCTGTGCCTTAGTTTGCAAACAACCCAAAAAGAGAACTAAAATAAAACCTTCCATCATTTAAATACCCACATTGTCCATGACTTCACTGCTGATACAAACTAGGGGTGTGTGAAGGGGACCCTATTCAATTCGGATTTGGATTCTGCAAAATTGGGGACAGAGAGTCGGAATCCGAATCTGATGATTCAATGCTGATTGAGTGAATCAGCAATTCAGACACAGGCACAGCTTTTAAAAAAAATTTCTACATTCCTTGAGGTAGCAGGCGCAGCTCGTGATCACTGTGGTGCTGGGGCGGATGGGGCAACCCACAGCAGCGTGGGGGGCTCTCCAGTGTGCTCGGCAGCCAACCCAGAAGTGGACCGGAACTACTTCTGGTCCACTTCCAGGTCTGCTGGGGAGCATGCAGGGGCCCCCTCCCCCCCGGCCAATCGATTGGCCGCAGGGGGACCCCAGGTGTCCCTCCAGACCAAGGAGGCACCAGTTGCCAAGCCGGGGGAGCACGGAGGGAGGCCCCCAGTGGACCCAGAAGTGCTTCTAGTCTGCTTCCGGGTCGGCTGCTGAGCATGCTGGGGAGCCTCTTGTGCTTCTGTGGGATGCTGCATCTGTCCCAGCACTGCAGTGTTCGGAGCCCCTGCTACCTAGATGCATGTAGAAAAAAAAATTAAAGCTGTGTCTATGTCCAAATCGCTGAATCTGTCCAAATCTCTCCGAATCGATTCGGAGAGATTAAAGGGTCCTTTGATTTGATTCAGATTCGGAGATTTGGCCACCAAATCGGGCCAAATCTCCGCCGAATCAAATCAGGGATCGAAGCTTTGCACAGCCCTAATACAAACATGTAGGAAGGGGACATAACATAAAGATTTGCACAATCTGCTGTTAGTGACATCTCATTTTTGGCATCCTGCCTAGTAGGAGCTGGGCTATAGGTGGATTACCACAACTCATTTTTCTCCTGCTCATTCTCTAGTTAAAGCATAATGTTAATTAGTAAAGGGGATGATGGCAACAGAAATACAAAATCTGCAGTGACCAATAGGGCCAAATCCTGCTTACCTTCTTTACACATGAATAAGACAAGGTTTTGGCCCACAATATTAATACATTGGACATCTGTACAGTTAAATTTTTAGTTTGTTGATGCTGAACTATGTGACTAACTGGTCTGTTCTACCCTTGACAAGGTTCCATTTCAGATGTGAATGAAAATATTCTCCATATATGAGTTACTATGATAAAACACTTTGGAGATCCCTTTGCATACATATCTTCCTGTTTATCTATATTCATAATAAAGTGAGGTTTTATTTTTTGAATAATAGTGAATATCTAAGCTACCCTCTTTGTTAAGTTATGTCAGGGTCAGGAAGATGTAAAATACCATGTTCTTGCTATGCTTGTAATTGATCTAGGTCTAATTTCACCTAGAAAGGTGAAAATAACATTCATTTAAAAGGACATGTTCACAAATGGAGGAGGAATAACATTTTTAAAAGTACTCAAGTAAAATTGGTTATTTCTTGTTTTTATCTTTTTTCCAATCCTGTGTCATTTTTTTAAATTTAAAACTTGATAAGATACAGTTATGCTGATGGTCAGAGCAAGGTGGAGGATTAAAATGAAAATTTAAAATGTTTATTGTAGCTCACTAAAGCATTTCTATTAATTTTAGCTTTTCTGAATAGTTTAGGTAATTTTTGAGGCAATCTGGTATCTGCCCAAGATCAAGAGCAAGGCCAAATAATTTGGCTTTCCTAATTACTTGCTTTTTTTGGACTTGGAGGAACCACACTTCTTTCTGCTTAGGTTTCACTACCCATTAAACATTATCTGTTGCACTTGGGAATTGTGAGGATTGACAGATACTTACACAGTGCCCTCTAAATGCATTGTATTATTTGCATCATTATTAATAGGTTTTATAAGATATTTTGTGTAATCTACATTTAGCACCTATGCTAATATAGTCAGTCTTTTCCTGGCTGGGGTGGGGGAATCTCAAAAGACTAAATAAAATTAAGCAGGCAAGGTTCTTTGGATAGACATGATATCTTTTATTAGACCAACTAAATAGTTGGAAAAAATGTTCTTTTCAAGCTTCCAGGTACGAACACCCTTCTTTAGGTATAAAGAAGGTGTTGTGTTGCCAGCAGAATCTCCTTATGCCTGAAGAAGTACTATTTAGTTGGTCTAATAAAAGATATCGCATCTACCCAAAGAACCTTGCCTGCTTATGTCCTTTGACCAACACGGCTACAATCAACAACCCTGCAACATGGTAAATAAAATGAATTACTTTATAACATTTTATATTTACAAAACAAGATGTTATTTAAAAACGTGAAAATACAGCATCTGCATACAATCTGGCTAAGATATTTTGAAAAAGGATACTTAAAGTTAGATTTGTATTTAAGTGGCCCAGTTTACCCAAGTGCTGAACATTTAATTCTAGAAGTGAATATTTTTTAGTTGGCAATCAGCCTGAGAATACCAGCTCATTGCAGATGGGCTGCTGAACAGCTAGGGGGAAGATAACAATTTTTGTTCATTATCACCCTAGTTAGATTTGAACTGCTATCCTGGAGATGTATTTCTTTAGCAATCTTAGGACCCATCGTTTAATACTTTTGATTATATTTTTCTTAATTAAACGGCCATATTTTCTACTAATACTCCATGTGCCTGTTACAGGGAAACAATTAAACACGTATCAGAGATGCAATGATATTACTGGAAGTATATTTACAAAGTTAAAAATTATTAGCCATTCAGCAAATAAGAACTAAATAATTACTAACCAAATATAAGGCTAACTGGATGAACTAATAACAATTCAGAAAGCTATATTAACATTTCATGTATAGATTAGTTGTGTTTTGCAAATTTCAAAACGGAGAAGAATGATTTAAGAACTAGTTGCAAGGAAGGCCCCAAATAACTACATGTCTAGTTAACATGCAGTGTGAAAAGGAAAAACGGTAATGGTTTTTATATCCAGGTTTCTACCTTGCTTATATTTAGCTTAGACTTTCTGATCCCAATTTCATTTGGACTCAAGAGGTTTTTTCATTGTCTGTGTGTTCATGGATCCTCAGACATAGGCATGAGTCTATAAATATCTATTTAAGTCTCTTATCTTATGTTTCTCTTCCAGGTGCACTTTGTCCCGGAAGGTGGAACAGTGGCACAGATTGTGTACAGTGATGATCAGGACCGTCCTCCACAGCAGGTGGTCTATACAGCAGATGGCACCTCCTACACCTCAGTGGACACCTCGGAGCACACACTTGTTTACATCCACCCTGTTGAAGCCACGCAGGCATGTGCAGTTGTGTATCCAGTCCCTTTCCTCCCTGTGCAGACTCTAAAGGGAAAAATATTTGTTCAGGATTAAAGCCCTCTACTTTTGAAGCATTGTGATTATAGGATCAGAGGCAAACAGGGCTGGAAGGGACCTCACAAGGTCATCTAGTTCAGCCCCCTACTCAAGACAGGATTGTCCTAGCTAAACATCTGTTCAGCCTGCTCTTGAAAATTTCCAAGGATGGAAATTCCTGTTCCCAAGCTGTGACCACCCTCATAGTTGGAGAGTTCTTCCTGAAATTCAACCTACATTTCCTTTGCTGCAGCTAGAGGCCATTGTTCCTAGTCCTCTCCCCTAAGGCCACTGAGAAAAACCCATCTGCATCCCCTGTATAATCACCCTCCAGATATTTGAAGACTGCTATCAAATCCCCATTCAGTCTTCTCTTCTCCAGACTAAATAACCCAAGTTCTTTCAGCCTTTCCTCATAAGTCTTGCCTCCCAGACCCCTAATCATTTTTGTCACTCTGTGCTGGTCTCTCTCATTTGTCCACATCCTTCTTGAAGGGTGGGGTCCAAAACTGGACAGAGTACTCCAGGTGAGGTCTCATCAATGCTGAATAGAGAGGAAGGATCACTTCCCTTTGTTTGCAAGATACAATCCAGGATGCTGTTGACTTTTTCAGTTTATGGTCCACTATAACCCCTATATCCTTCTCTCTAATACCGCATCTTAGCCATTCATTCTCCAGTCTGTATTTCTGTATGCAATTATTCCATCCCAAGTTCAGGACTTTTCACTTGTCCTTGTTGAATCTGATCTAATTGATTGCAGGCCATTCTTCCAGTTTGCCCAGGTCATTCTGGATCTTAGCCCTACCCTCCAAAGTGTCTGTGACTCCATCCAACTTGGTGTCATCTTCAAATTCACTAAGCATGCACTCAATCAATACTGTCATCCAAACCATTAATGAAGATGTTAAACAGTACTAGACCTAGGATAGACCTCTGGAGAACTCCACTTAATACCTTCTCTCAGCTAGACATTGAGCCATTGATGACTACTTGTTGAGCATGATGACAAAACCAGTTATATATCCACTAGGGCTGTGCAAAGCTACATTCCCTGATTCGATTCAGCAGAGATTCGGCCCAATTTGGTGGCCGAATCTCCAAATCCAAATCGAATCCGAGGACCCTTTAATCTCTACGAATTGAATCGGAACCCTCTGAATTGATTTGGAGAGATTTGGAAAGATTTGGAGATTCGGACATAGAAACAGCTTTAAATTTTTTTTCTACATACCTCTAGGTAAAAGGCAGCTCATGAGTGCTGCGATGCTGGGGCACACATAGTGTCCCACAGAAGCACTGGGGGTTCCTCAGCGTGCTTGGCAGCAGACCTGGAAGTGAACCAGAAGCATTTTTGGTCCAATTCTGGATCCGGCAGGGAGCGCGCTGTGAGGCGGTCCCCTGGATGGGTGACTGGTACCTCCTGGGTCACAGCGGGGTGGTGCCCAGCGTGCTCCCCAGCAGACCTGGAAGTGGACCAGAAGTACTTCCAGTCCACTTCCGGGTTCACCACTGAGCATGTGGAGGGCCCACCTGCAATCCTGTGGGATGCTCCATGCACCCCCGCATCGTAGTGATCACAAGCCGTGCTGGTACCTCTAGGTATGTAGAACAATCTTTTAAAGCTGGGTCTGTGTCTGAATCGCTGATTCTCCGAATCAGTATTGAATCTTCAGATTCGGATTTAGCTGAATCAAATCAGGGACAGTGATCTGAATCAACAAATCGAATCAGTGTGCCTGATTTGGGCCAAATCTGAATCAAATAGGGCCCATTTTGCACACCCCTAATATCCATGTTACAGTACTTTCATCTAGTCTCTATTTCCTTAGGTTGATAATGAGAATGTTGTGGGACACTGTGTCAATATTCTGCTAAAGCCAAGGTATATCACATCCACTACTCTGCCCCCAATTCACTCTGCCCCCTGTCACCTTATCATAGAAGGGAATCAGGTTGGTCAGGCACAACTTGCTTGGTGACTCCATGCTGACTGCCTGATCACTTTGTTCTCTCAGTGCTTCACAATAGATTCCTTGAGGATCTACTTCATGATCTTTCCAGGTACTGAGGCCAGGCTGACTGGTCTGTAATTCCTCCTTCCCGTTAATAAAACTGGGCACTATATTTGCCCTTTTCCAATCATCTGGGACTTCACCCAACCTCCACAATTTCTCAAAGAGATCAGCTAATGGCTCTGAAATTACTTCAGTCAATTCTTTCATTACCCTAGGGTGCATCCCATCTAGTCCTTTTGAACTGAAAGCATCTAGCTTCTCCAAGTAATCCCTAACCTGTTCTGCCATTACTCTAGGCTGTTTGTCCTCCTTCCCTCTCTCCTGCCAAGTGTACTTGTCATCTGATAGCTGTCCTATTTGTGAAGACTAAAGTGAAAGAGGCATTAAATACTTTAGCCTTCTCTGCATCAACTGTAAACTAGATTGCCTTCTGCTGTCTGTAAGAAAATTGTGATTTCTTTGGTCTTCCTCTTACTTTTGACATACTTGTAGAATCCCTTTTTATGATCTTTTATGTCCCTTGCCAGTGGCATCTCAGATCATGCCTTGGCTTTTCCAAGTTTCTCCCTACATGGCAACGCAATACTTTTATACTCTTCCCTAGTACTATGAACAAGTTTTTTGTAGGATTCATTTTTGAATTTCAACTCATTGAAGAGATTGCCATCTAGCCAGTTTGACCTCCTGTTCCACTTCCCATTCTTCTGTCACATTGCTCCTATGCCCTTTAAAGGTCCCCCTCACCTCGCCAACTCACCTGGACCCCCTACCCCTCACACTTGCTTCCCAGGGAATCCTGCCCACCAGTTCCCTGAGTTAGCTAAAGTTTCCTTTTCTGAAAGTTCATTTTCTTTATTCTGCTGTTCTCTTTCCTTTTTCCCCTTAGGATCTTGAACTCTATCATTTCATGGTCACTATTACACAAGTTGCCTTACACCTTCACCTTCTCAACAAAGGCCTCCCCTGTTTGTGAGCAGCAAATCAAGAAGAGCTTTCCCTCTACTTGCCCTGTCTGTCAATTGTATCAAAAAAATATCCCCAATACACTCCAAAAAATTCCTGGACTGCTCGTGCAATGATTACAGGTTTCTCTTGCCAACCATTTGCCAACCACAGTTTTGAGTATCCACACTTAATATTATATATACCATTTTGGCTACCACAGTATACAGTTTTGAGTAACCACGGTTTTCCGTGGCTACACATCAGCCTGCCACCTGCCATTTTTCCCGTAAGCCTTTTGTCTTGCCAACCATGGTTTTGCTAACCACAGGAACTTTTAGGAGCCTAACCCCAGTGGTTGGCGAGGGAAACCTGTATTAGCTGGGCATAACCACATAGCCCTTGGTAAATAGGGAGTTCATAACGTTTATTTGAAACAAATGTGGCAATCCAGAGATGATGAGGCTTCAAGGGATGCTGGTCTGGCAATTTCACTTTGGTTCAATTGGCCTGTAATTGAATCAAAGGCATTCTTAAAATGCTGATGATCGTTATAGATGCTGCACACCACTTACCTTCCATAAAATGGTAAAAGCTTTAGGCCATGAATATTTAGGAATGGGAAGAAGTGCTACTCAATCTATGCTTTTTCTGGAAGCAGGTTCCTTTATTTGCACAGCCAGTTCTTGAAATTAATGATGATAATAACAATACACTCTGCACTTGTATGACACTTCTTTTCAGAGGGCCTCAAGAAAGCATGGGATTTAATCTTGCAGTTTTTGGTCAGACAAAACTATTGTTTTTAGAGGAATGCCTTTTATCTTGCGTCATTGTTAAATTTTTATAGCTAATAACTGCTGCCCCAGCAGTCTATATTTATATGAAGTGCATGAATGTATCTCTCTCTGTCTATATGTAATAATATTGAGAGAATAGATTTCATCAAGAGCAGTTAGTCAGCCCTTTGCTGATGTTGCAGGGTTAATAGCTATACTATAAAAGGCCTGTATTTGATACATGGCTCAATGCTGGCATTGTGTTCTGCTCCATGTTCTCTATACAGCATATAGCTCCCAACTACTAAATATATAATTTCACAGCCTATGGGCTATGGATCCCATCCAGATTCTGCAAGAAGTGGGGATGGTGATTCAGTGGGTGGCTCTCTGTATTATGGAAACAATGCTGGAGGTATCATCTCTCAGTTTTTAGATTAAAAACCGCCATCCTGGCCACTTGTAGTCATGAAAGATTTCATGGCAAATTCAGTGCGAGATTGGTTTGATGTCTGATGCATCTTCTTTTCCCCAGCAGTTTTCAATTGAATACAGCATTGTTTACTTCCTGCCATCAGCAGTAATGTAATGTTACTGCGCACCATCAAATAACTGTTGTATTTCATCCTAGAAGAATTGCATTTTAAAACGGGCAAAGTGACTTCTATACATAACATCAACAAAGCCTTTCAAGCCCTTTTGGTATGCAGATGAAAGGTGCTAGATAAATGAGAGATCAGTATTCTTTTATGGAAAAGTCGCTAGAGTGTCATTTTAATTTCTCTATATATAGGCTCATTGGGGTAAGTTGAACACAGCTGCCATGGCAATAAGCATTTTAGAAACTTCACAAACTCAGTAATTCTTGTATAGGTTGCTTCTCAGCAGGAGAGTAATTCATCTTGTGTGAACTGGGAATAAACTATCCTGAGGCCAGTTTGATAAGCCTTTTTCACTTTGTCTAGACTCTGTTTACAGATCCATCCCAAGTGGCTTACGTCCAGCAAGATGCCACAACACAGCAGGTAAGAAGCACCTTTTTCTATTAAATCTTGAGTACCATAATAAGGAAACTGAGAAGCAGTGTAAAGAGACACTTATGGGTGTATATTCTATTATAAGACTTTGAGATTTGTCCAAAGCAGATCGTGTTCTCTCTCAATTAGTCACCAGCAGCACAACGATCACAAGCAGCCAATCCTGGAGTAATAAGCTAGGGCTACCTTGTCCAATGTGTTTATGATTGGGGAAAAAACTTTTTAACAATGAGTGTTTAATTTTGAGCTTTAAAGGAATGTTGCTACTAAAATCCTGATTCTCTTTTTCCCTAACTTGATAAATATTGTGTCCTTTGAAACCTATCTGTCAGTTTCTTGGGTTTTTTAACACAATTACAGGTTATGTGAGGGTCTTCATATAGGGTCTCATCCAAAAGCCATGAAAGTGAATTGGAGTGAATTGGAGTTCACTGTTGCCAGTAGACCGAAACTTTGAATTGGGCTCTAAAACTCTTTAAAAACGTCAGTGACTGGCTCCCAGGTCTTATACCCATATCACAGATGTCCTTGACTTGCACACGCGTGTGGAATTGAGTAGAAGCAGCATGGAATTAAGGACTGTGGTTGTGAAGTCTAGATGATGAAGAAGAAAATATAGGGTGGGTAGCAGGGAATTGTTCTTTATTGTATCTAATATGTCTGTAGAGATGAGATGTTGAGGAAATGTTAAGAAAATATGGATCCTTTCATTTCTAGGTCACTGGTTCAAACTCGTCTCTGGTTGGTAGTGACCTTAAATCATCATCATTTGCTAGGTGTTTAGTGGTCTGTGTGAAGTGAAAATGGTTGGTCTCAATTTGTTCCATAATATAGAAGCGAGCTTTAACATTGATACTAATTTGTAATCCTCTTGATGTTCTCAGTGGAGGGAAGAAAGATTGAATAGACACAGAGAATAAACTTCTATATATTAGAAGAAAACCCTTCAAATTGGAGTTGAGTCACATTGGCAGAGAGCAATGTGAGGGCAGCTTGCTGTGTTGGTCTCTGTCCCTGTTGTGCTTAGAAAGCTTCAGTGTTCTGAGTTGTCCATTAGGCAGTTCTCACTAGACTAGATTCATGTTTAAAAAAAAAAAAAGTGAAGCCCACATGTACTCCTGCCTCTTAAATCAGTACCTTTTTAGCAGCCTTTTAACAGTAAACATGGGATCAGACTTAAGATCCTAACCCTTATGCACACTGCACAAGTTATGTACTTAAAACACCAGCAGAGAGTGCTGGCTTCTGTCATCGCATGTGCGGTATCTCTTGATAATGACAGGACATGCCACCTAGGGCCTAAATACTTTATCTCTGTGTCCCCAGCCCTTCCATCAAAGGTTCATCTCACACCAGCACCCACAGCATTTCCAAGGCAGGGATTTCTAGTTTGTTCGTGAATTGCTGTCATATCATTAGGGCAGCTGCTGCTTTTGCGGATTTTTTATGTAGACATTTCCTGTAAGAAATCCCTGAATTAATCAGTTGTTAAAACAATAATCAATTATGTACAGTACATTTATGTTTTGAAGTCTGATATATGTAGGAGGTGCTACTGTGATGTATACAGACACAAGCTTTATGTGAGGTTCTCATCGATGGCTGTTCTGGAGGCCTGCAGTTAAATAATGATGCCTTTTACATTGCCATTTGGCATTAGGAATAGCAATACCAGACAGTGCACTTCAGCTGTTGTTCTGGCTGTTTCCTAGTCAGTGCTGTTCCCCAAAGTCTTCTGTAGCCATCATGATAAAGCAGTCTCATAAATTGCATCAATTAAACCAAAAACAACAACCAACTCCAAATTATTAGGAATTTGTATATTAAAATAGGTTTGGTTCCCTGAGCCTGTATTTCCCAAGCACCTAGGGAGCTGGACTAATTTACCAGTCACTGATATAGCAGCCAGTACTTCCATTCACTTGTGCCCAACTTGTCCACAGTGGAGCCTGGGCTGCTTTCTAGAGCAGAACTAGAGATAGAAGACTGATGCTATTATGTGGAGGGTGGGTCTCCTGTTCTGTCACCCCCTGATTGCATACTTTTGTGTGTGCGCGTGTTTTATTTGATTATTATTTAGCCTTCACAAAGCTTTCTACAGGTGGACAAGGGTTTGTCTCAGTGTGAAAACTGCTTATGCAATTATATGCAAAAGCCAACACTACTGCAATTTTACGGGTTGAGAAAGGTGAAAATCCAGATAGCCCAATGGTGCCCAGGATGCAAACATGCAGAAGAATAAAATTATCAATTCTGTAGATAATAGAATTCAGGACTCAAAAGTAAAGACAGATCATTTCTGGTAACGTTACCTCAGATACATTAATCTGCTACAATGTGCTATGGTTGAAGTAAATCAATACACACAATACTGTAAATTAAGATTTTGCTACTAGAACAAGGAGTAATACTGGGAACTAATGTTACAGATGTGACCGCATGGGGAAGTAGACAAAAATAACTTTAAAATTCCCTGAGTTTCCGGTGCATAATTGTGCAAGTGTAATCTTGTAATCCTTATTTTTATCACTGGTAGGTTTTAGAAAAAGAAACAGAGAGAAAAACAGAGGAGATGTATTATTTTTTGCAATGGAAAACTGAAAGAGAGGGAAAAGTATAGATATGGGGAGAACCAAAGTAAAACCAAAGTCCCCAATTCATTAGTCTTAACAGGAATCAACCAGCTAAGGGCATTAAACCCTCTTGTCTCTGGTATAGTTTTAATCCGAAAGTTAAAACTAAAAACTGGAGATGAAAAATTCCAAAGCAGCAATATTTCAGTGTGGAGTGAAAGCTCCACATCCCCTTTTCCTCTGAAATCTGGAGTGTGTGGAGCTTTGTTCAAGACCATAATTTTTTTTTTAAGTGCACTTTTTTGTGTAGCATAGGGTTCCAGGAAACTTTGCATGCAGGGCACTGCCCATATGTAAATGACTGATGGAAATGACGCAGTGCTAAAATGAGTGCCTATAATTTTAGGTAACTGTGCTCTTGCCTGCTGCTGCTCAGAGCATGAATCCCACCAACCTCTCCGTGCTCGGCAACGTTGCCGAATCCCCACAGCAAATGGCTCTGGAGCAGGGTCCACAAGCAGATAGAGTAAGTTGCTAGGCACTCTTGTCTTTTAAATGTAAACATGCTCTCATTTCATTGCTCCATTGAAACAGATGATCAAATATGTTTGAGTGATATGCAAAGTGATATGCAAAGAAATGCAAAAAGTTTTAGTGCAGGTTTTGAAAGTGTATTACAGTCTCACCATCTAATGTGGGGATTTTAGGGAAGAAGATTTGTTTAACATGCAGTGAAACCTATTCTTTGAACTCTTTTCTCATACGTAACCACTTGAAGGTGTTTCTCCAAGATCTGGAATCTTAAATTTAGCAAAAGGTAATTCCTACTGCTATATATGGCCAGCATCCGCTGGTCTTTTTGTTAGTCCCCTGCTAAGACACGTTTTACCTTTTATAATATTTCTTATTCTTTTTCCTGAGATGCCTGTTTGGGATGTGGGGTATTTATATACTTTGTATAGCATTTACCTTTGCTTTCTACACAGGGGCAAGATAAAATTACACACACATTCTGAAATCCCATAGCTGTCTTCCATATCCTATATTATAGGTGTTTGATTTTAATTATCTCCTGCCTTATTAATTTCTGTATGTGTGCTTGGTGGGTTGTTTTCACTTTTTTATGGTAGGAGGGCAAAATCATTGGTCAAAATATTCAGTGCTCACAATTAATAAAACAGAGGACTGAGACCATAGATAAATTCTTCAAACATAAATGGGGAGAGATTTGTTTAATTGCAAAGACCCTCTGTGAGGATTCAGAATTTCTTTGACTTGATGTATCCTTCTGAAAAGTCACTATTTTCTCTGGTGGGGTTGGTATCGTCACAGAGCCCTTCCCAGCAAGGGTCAACACAGCATCAGCCGTGAAACATTACAGGGCACAGGACATCAACAGTCATAAACTGTGGTTTCACTCTCCCTCACTTTGCTTGTTTACCAAAGGAAACAAAGTATAGAGTAGACTAGCAAGAACTTCATTTTTTTGCCTTTGTAACTGAGATGATTGTGTGGTGGTAAGCATACATCCATCCACTGTGGTTGGAAGATTGACCTAACTTTGTGTTTTGACTTCTTTCCTCAGGCATCGTTACCGGTGCATAACCAGGTGTTACCTCCTATGGAGGCAGTGGATGGTTCTGATCCTTTGGTACCTCTTCAGACCCAAATGGAAACAAAGGAGGAAGAAGAGGAGGAGGAGGAAGAGGATGAAGAAGATGGGGATGACACCGACATGGATGAATGGGATCCAGATCCACCACGACCTTTTGATCCCAATGATCTGTGTAAGCATAAGTGGAAGCATTTAGCATATAGGCCTCTTCCTGTCCCTGTTCATTTGGGTTTTCTATTCAGTCACTTGGTAAGCAGACTATTTGTGTCTTTAGTTATCATAACCTGCACCCCCAATTGCATTCAGAAACATGTATGCTAATGCCAACTTACCCTCTCTAAATTTGAACAGCTAGTGCGTTCTGCATTAGCTGGAGCCTTTGAGTTGCCTTCTGGAGGCAAGTGCACTGTTTCTTTAGAAGCAGAGCAGGAAGCTTTGTTTATATATTTTGTTTAAAGATGAAAGCCCTCTATCTTTCAAAGTAGAAACAGCCCATTGGCCTGAGTGCTGTAGTACCTAAGGCTGTTTCTGGCAAGTATGACAGGGAGATAATATCTTGTGCCTAAGTGTCTTTCCTGTGCTGGTAGAAGGGAATTTATGGCTCATAGTCATGTTCTCTTTTGACTTTGTGTCGCAGGGTGCGAAGAGTGTAATAACGCACATCCCTCAGTGTGTCCAAAACATGGACCCCTACACCCAATCCCAAACCGGCCAGTGCTGACCAGAGCAAGAGCCAGCCTCCCTCTGGTGCTCTACATAGACAGGTTCTTGGGGGGAGTATTTTCTAAAAGACGCATTCCCAAGCGCACGCAGTTTGGCCCTGTGGAGGGACCTCTCGTCAGACAAACTGAACTGAAAGACTGCTACATTCATTTAAAGGTTAGTCGTGTGTGTGTGTGTGTGTGAGAGAGTGTGAGGGAGAGAGAGAGTCCAAGTGTCTAGTCTGTTTCATGTATTTAAATCCACAGTGTTGACTTTATTGACAGTATTCTTCTGGCATTCTTATCTTATGCCAGCGCTGCAGTTCCCAAAATTGTACAGCCAGAGAACCACCTAGGTAGCTACAAGCAGATACAAAGCATTCCTGGTAGGCCTCCTGATATTATTGTGTTGTGACTTATCTATATCTCAACACCAGGTAGTATGAATCTCAAAGAAAAGGAGAGGCTCAACACAGACACCCTGTCCTACTGACAGAGTGAAAATCTTGGCTCTTGCTGCAGTACCTCCTTGGAGAAGCTGTAGTTGTTGGAACAGATTGTTAAAGGCTCTCGTTCCTGTATTATGTAACCATTGCAGAACATTAACTACTGTGGTTTGATTTTTCCTCTCCTTGTGCCTAAGGTGTCTCTTGATAAAGGTGACAGAAAAGACCGGGATTTACAAGAGGACCTGTGGTTTGAACTGTCCAGTGAGGCTCTGTGTAATTGGATGATGTTTGTGCGGCCAGCCCAAAACCACCTGGAACAGAACCTGGTGGCCTACCAGTATGGCCATCACATTTACTATACAACGATTAAGAACGTAGAGCCCAAACAGGAACTCAAAGTATGTAATTGTTTACACTTTGTGGTTCAACTTTACTGTGAGAAAACATGTAAATTGAATTGTACAACATATTCCAAATGCCCAGCATAGCTGTGATCCCACCTACACTAAAGACTTAAGCTGTACTGCCATCATGTTCCTTGACTTGGTTGTAATTATGGAATAGACAAGACCTTTATCATTTGGGTTTATTGTTCTGGGATAAGGAGAGCAATCTGCCTTGATAATGCATATTGGGGTCTGAATCAAGTATTTTGAACTTAGTTGAAAGACTCTTGTTTAACTAGCAGGCTTTGGATCAGACCCTTAATGAGGAAGTCTAACAAAAAAGTATGTAAAGATCTGTCTCCTGCTTTCTACTTGTAGCAGCCATTTCTTATACTCCATTGTTTATATCCTAACTTGACCTTCAACCACTTATAGCTGTCTTTCTTCTCTCATTAGCCCCACACTTACATGAATATGACTAGCTGCCTCTGTAACAGTGATCTGTACATGAATGTGGTCTCTTACTTCAGCCTGCTTTCTTGTGACTTTTGAAGCTTAGACAGGACGTTTGGAATCTAGTTTTTGATGCTTCTGATTAAGCACATTGTGACTTACTTGTGAATTACTTTTTAAATTCAGGTGTGCTCAGACTGGGGCAATTGAGAAAGACAACTTTAATTATAAACGTCCAGTTTGATGACTGGAAGAGTAACAAAAACTCACATTGCTTTTGTCTGGCATTTTCTGGGTCTCTTCTGTCCAAGCACAGGAATTTCATTAGGTTTATTTACACCAGTACATAAACCCTTGTAGACACTTTTTTTTTTAAGTGGAACCATTTCTTATTTCACCTTAAAGTTATACCTAATCATTTAACGGGTCAGTAGAAGCCAGAGGATTCATTACAAAAGCAATAAAGGTGTCTGTGTGCACCCCCCTGTGCTGAGAGGTGTGAGTTCGGCACTGGTGTTGGGTTGTGTTGAAAGCTGCCTCCTGTTGACCCAGCTGTAAATAGTACCTGATTGTTCAGGCTGGGGACTCAGAGATGTCTGGACATGATACTAGTCACATCCATTCCTTGTGTGCTTTTGTCTATAGAAGCTGGCTTGCCTCAACCACACTAGCCTCACCTCTCACCTTTGACTTGACTTGACTAGAAGCCTGCATTATATCAATTTTCCAACTGTTTAACTAAAACAGTTTTAAATCAAACTTTAGTTAAAAATTATGTATAGACAGACTGTTAATCTCATTCCATTCATTAGATGTGTCATTTGGGGTTAAAATCAGGCTAATAATGGAAAGTGAGTTTCTTCAGCCCCATCATGTTTTCTTTCGTTCAGCTAGATCGCATTTTCATCATTGGTGTAGGTAATCAGTTGCGTGTAAGGATGGAGCTGGGAGGATCATTTAGCAGAAGCTGTGGGAACTCTTGCATTGCTTGACAGATAGAGAGACCAGTGTTGTTAATGAGCTGTTGGTTTCCCTTTAACCAGAAATATTTGTCCTCTTACTGAGGTTCTTGGAGAATAATATATGTCCACAAATGACTCCATCCGCGGGTCAGGAGTGTAATTTTTGCCACTGCAATAAGCATGCTTAGACCCTATAGCAATTTTCTATCTTGCTTACTGTAATTTCTTCCTCTGTGAACTTCTTAAATTTCTGTTTTCTAAATGAAGTGGGAACCAGACTGTTGAAGCCTAACAGGTGTGCACCCCTCCGCCCCCCCAGAAGTAGGACCACATTGATTAGGCAAATTTTAAATGAGTCTTCACTGGCTACACACACCCATGCTCAAATACACATACAAGTTCTGTATTGGAATTCTTTAAGGTCATATAGACAGATCTAGCAAGATTAATCTTACTTCTTTTTAGAGGTAACAATATGTGAGATGAAGACTCATATTAGGAAACTGTACCTTAAAATTAAACAGGTGCATTATGTAAGCAGTTCTGTATTACTCCCCAGTGGGGGCACACTGAACTCAACAGGGTTTATTATCAAGGTTAGAGGAGCAATAAGAGTTACTAGCTCAGCTGAGATGCTCCAAGGAATGAGACTTCAAGCCTCCAGTTAATTCCCCTTTACTCTGGGCTCATTTAAGAAAATGTCTTTTTGCCTTACGTGTTTGCTCCAGGTGTGGTATGCTGCCTCCTATGCAGAGTTTGTGAACCAGAAGATCCATGACATATCTGAAGAGGAGAGGAAAGGTAATTGGGTGCTTTGTTTTTCCCCTCTTCTGTGTGGCTGTGTTGCTGTTTTCAAAAAAAAGGTGGCTAAGTTTATCACCTATCATTGCATTCTATGTGCAAAATTCTCATTAGATCTGAAGAGGAATTGACTTGTGTTAGGCCCATGATGCTGGATCCTCCATTTGTTATTACATGTGCTAACATAAGGATAATTCAACGTTGTGCAGCAGGGCTTTGGTTAATTTGCAGAGGGTAAGAATGGAATTTTCTTTCATATACCTGGATATATTACTGAGTATTGTAACTCTGTTTAACCAAATACAAAGGGATTGATTTTTGATGGTCACTTCATTCAGGTTTAATTTCTGCATATTTTGGCTTTTAAGTTTTAATGATTTTATTTGACACTCCCATTAGGTATTTACAAATGCAACTTAACATAGGACATTTGTTAGGAGGACTTGGGGCCAATGTCACCATTTAATAAATTTTTCCTTTTCATTACAAATGTTCCTCAGTCCCATTCGTTGTTACCCTTGTCTTCGTGCAATTAACTGGGATCACACTGTAGTTCAGGGGTGATCAGGGTGAAGCCTCTAAACCAGTTCGAATTGTGCAGCATGTTCTTCAGTTGGGGCACAAAAATGTGGCCCAGAGAGGACAAGAGGGCCTACAGAAAATGTAAGATATAAATTGGTGGTAACTGAATGGCTGCTATTGCTACTTCCAACTTATAACAGTTCTTCGAGACCAAGAGAAGAATTGGCCATGTTATGAGTGCAATCGTCGCTTTATGAGTTCAGAGCAGCTCCAGCAGCACCTCAACTCCCATGATGAGAAGCTGGACTTCTTCAGCAGGTATTTATTGTTAAGCAGAAGCTATTTCCCAAAGCTCAGTATTTCGTGTACTGCTTGTAGGCAATGATGATAGGTGAATCTCAAAAGGCTGCTGAAATGAGCTCACAATCCAATTTGGACAAATATGGTATAGTGCATTAAAAGGCCCAAGAACCAGAGAGAGATTGTTGGGGAGGTGATGTGTCTAGAATACTTTACAAAATACCTGGTTTATATGAGGGGGCAGTAGGAGTGAAATTCTACCCCACTGAAGCCAATGCAAGTTTCCCTACAGATTTCAACACAACCAGGATTTTAGGAATTTGAAGATGTATTGGAATTCTCCAAGCTTCTTGGACATACAGGTTTAGTCTAGAAATCACAAGAGGATGATTTTCCTGACGATATTTTTGTCTTATCAACTTGTTAAAACCTTGTTTCTTTGGGCATTTATTTCATACAGCTGGGAATGTTTTCCAGGATGCAAATAGCATAGGCTGTTAGAAGGAAGAGGGCTGCTTTTGGCTGCCATTGTAAGGACTCACTGGGAGCCAGTAGTCCCATTGCCTGTCTTTATGGTTCTTCATATACTGAAATATATTTCCTTAGCACAGGCTTTTATTTCCAGGAGAAGATGAGATAAAGATCCATTAATATGAGCACTAGTTTTTGCTGCCAACATTCCTTCAGGTTTTGTGATTTACTTTAGGCCATTATTACTGAACTAGGTGGTTTAACAATGATTGCTTAGAAAAAAGATGCCGGAAATGAGTGGAATCCAAATCCATTTCTTTCTTCTCTAACTTGGACCACTGTATGTTCTGCAGAGCAAGAGGCAGAGGTCGTGGACGAGGAAAGCGGCGGTTTGGACCGGGCAGACGGCCAGGGCGCCCTCCCAAATTCATGCGCATGGAAGTAACCAGTGAAAATGGGGAAAAGTGTGAAGAAGGAACACAGGTATACATAGGGAAGGAGAGGAGACTGGCATCATCTCTGATGTAACCTCTTTGTTAACAAAAGTAGGGTCAGATTCGCTTTGTCCCACCAATGGAAGCCAAGGGTCAGAATGGACTTCTGATTTATAGCTGTGTAATGAAGACCAGAATGAGGCTCTTCCTTTTTATTATTCTGGCAATGAAACTTCAGCCAGAAGAGAGCACAGTAAGTTGTTTCTATGAAATAAGTTGCATTTCTACAGCACCTTTCATCCCGAACCACTTCATCCAACACTGAAACACAGTTATGGGATGGAACGTGACAGCTGCTTAATAGTACTATAATATTGTCCACATCCCTACACAGTAGTATAGTGGGTACTGTGTAAAGGTCACCTTGAGTTGAAACTACAGTGGGAATGTAGGTAAGTAGCAGAATTTGTCTTTGACATAAGGGCCCCGTCTGTACTCTGGATATTTTTGCCAATGTAATACTGTTAATTAGGGTGCTTTAATCCTGGTTAAAGTCCAGGGGACAGATCTTATTTTCCCTATGCCATACCTCAGGTACGTAAGTTTGGTCCTATTCTTCCCTGTTCGAGTCCCTGAAAAATCATTAATGTAAAAAATGACTGGGTTCTCCTCCTCCTTGCTGTTCTTTGTGCCTTAGTCTTAAACCTAAGATGAAAAACAGTTGTTGTACCATGCTTTCAGAAACTCAAGCAGGGTAGAAGAGGATCACACGCAGGCACCTAAGTACTGGTTAGACATCTGATAGGAGGAATGGGATCGGGCCCCTAGTGTAGGCACAAGTTATACAAGCAGAAAAAGTCTTTTTGCTGGTGCAGGCTGATTCATGCAGGGGACTAGGTGGGTTACTGCTATAGCTAAATCAGCAGAGCCTCTCTGGTGTAGACCAGGCCTGTGATTACTGCCGAGCCTTTTATGAAATGTGTCACAAGGGATTAGTGGCTCAGTTTTATGTCTTAGCTGAAAGCTGACATCTGGAGCAGTAATTTGCCCTTTGGCACCATGCTGGGGCATTGGTTCAGTGCTGATTCAGAGGGGAGATTGCATACATTGCATACAAATGATTCTCATTCATCTTGTAATACAACAGTTAGTGTTTTCCTCAGGGTCCAAGCAATACTAGGTACAACCCTGCTTGGCTTAGCAAATAAGTCTCCAGGTGGGGTGACCACAGAGAAATCTCACTAAGTATGTCCAAAACATAGAAAGACTACCCTCTGCTAAAAAAAATCCATGCATAAAAACTGTGTGGTAAGCATCTGCTTTATTCAGCAGTACTGGGGTGGAGGGATGGAGCCTGTATAGCAAAGCATCTCATCAGGGAAGTTCTCAAACTCTGGAGCCCTGTAGCTGTGGAGGATTTGCACAGTTATCATTGCACTTTGGAGTACAATGAAAAAGAGCTTATGCTCTGCTGATTTGTATTGACTCAGTTAGTTGCAATGTGTTATCCACTGCTTACACACTGACTTTGCACTGACTTTGCTCAGCCTTTCATAGTTTTTTAAGTCAGAGGGTCTATTATCAGCATCTAATCTGATCTCCTGCATAACACAGGCCATAGAATTGTACCCAGTAACTCCTCATCAAACTCCTTAGCATCCAAACCAGGGTTTGAACTCTGGCCCCAGATTAAAAGTCTCCACTGACTGAGCATTCAGGGCTCATAACAGGATGCATTCCTTCTTGCAGCTTCTTTTTTCTTTTCTGCCAAACCTGCAACACAGATTTGCTGGGAAATCCCTTGAGCTAACACACACTTGTTCCCCATTACCTAGCTTTTGTCCTGCATACAGTTCCCTAGTTATTTGGTGAGTAAATGGAATTATGATCAATTTTTTTTTCTTCAGGGATTGGAATTTTTTTATCCCAGAATATTTACTGGAAGCTGGGGTGGGGGTGGATTTTGACATTTTGTTTCTCATTCCCAACACTGCTGCTTCTGAGCTGATGCAAAGAAGCAGAAAAACAGCTCTGATGTTTAATAAATGCAAACTATACACCGCTGGGTATTCCTACTGCCTGGGTATATCTAGCAACTTTGCTAGATAGGACAAATTTTGAACATCAAAAGGTCTAGGTTGCAGGGTACTGGCAAATAATTTTTACAAGAGTTAAACTGTCTGCACTACCCTGAAGGCCTGGCCTATGCTGAGCATTTCGTCTTAGAGTTTCCCGCTGCACCTAATCTGGGTTCATGTCCCTTGATGACAGCATGGGAGGGGTACAAGCATGGGAAGGCCCTTTGTGATTTAACTGCTATACTGTCCTGATCCATGAGGCAACATGGTAGCTAGGATGGGTAGGAGTGTCCACCTGCAGCCCTGTCTACACGAGTGCTACACATGTTGCATACTATCAGTAAAGCTAAACTGGTGTTAGCAACAATGGAAAGTTTTGGAGGAAATATGGCAGTATGGACACAGCCTGCATGTAATGAGTGTGATCATTTAAAATATGCAGGAGTCTGACTACCTGCCAATTGAGTATTATTAGAGCCTCTTTCAGTGGGTGGGGGGAATAATCACTAGCTGTATGATTTGCGATTTCAGGACTTGCTGCATTTTTCCAGCAAGGGGCAGTTTGATGAGGCTGGACAAACCACACTGAATGGGCTGGAACAGCAGGAGCAGACTCCAGTGCCACCAGAGACGCAGTCAGCACTGGATCAACAGCCAGAAGGCCACCCACTGCAGCTCCAGCAACAGCATGATGACAGCGTGGTGCCTACGCAGAGCACCATGACAGCAGATGACATGCGGCGAGCAAAACGTATTAGGGTAAGTGAAGAGGGTGGTGGCTCTTGCCCCCTCCCCCCCTCCTTCCTCTCTGCTTTAGCTTGTGGAAGTCATCATTTGCCAGCTGGTAGCAGCTGGTCTTTTTCCCCCGGTGTAGTGTCTGTATCCAACTCCCAAGCACAGCATCTTATGTCCAGCAAATTCCCTCGTTCTGAAACTAAGATAAACCTCATGCAACGAGTTAGTGTCTCATGAGATGTAGTGAGAATTGGTCATCAGTTGGAGCTGATTCAATTCCAACACAGTAATTCTTTCATAGAAACATGGTCTGTCCAAGCTGGCAAGTGGGAATGCTCCAAACAGCCGTCTGAATCCTGGTGCTGTGGCATGGACTAATGGCCAGTTCAGAGCACCATCTGTGTGTCTCACAAATCTATTTGCTTTAGAATTTGTTGCCAAAGAGGCATCCTCGCCCCAGTTTGTCTCTGTTCATTCAGATGATGCTGATGGTGACTTTCAATGATAACATTCCTTTGTTGGAATCAAAAAATCTCCCCTCTTTGTGATTAAAGCCTGGGCTAAGAACTTTGCATGCCAGGAACAAATGCTTTGAACCTGTGCTTTGTGCTAACTGAGGGAGCTGCTTTTCCACTATGTGTGGGAGGGAAACGATTGAGGCAAATAATCCTCCAAAGCAATAACTGTGTGATGGGTTTATTCTCTTTTTCTTTCCCCTCCATGTGTAAAATTGTGATTATAGAAGGGAACAGCTGCAAACGGGTTGAGACTTCATTTTTAGGAGATGAGAGAGAGGGGATTAAAAAAGAGTCAGTGAGTAATTCTCCTGGAAGACTGCAGCCACATTTTATTCTCAGTTTAAACTAGTGTGTATATGAGACAATCAGTGGTGTTACTCCCAAATTACAGTGACATATCAGAGAGCATAATATAGGTCAGTCATATAAGTATGGACCTGATAAAAGGCCTTGGTGTCCCTGAATGACAAGCTTATACTATCAGTTTAACTCCAAGATGCCAAACAAGGTGGAAGCAATGTTCTGGGAACTGGTCTTTCTGCTGATCTTCCTCTCCATTAACAATATAAGCTTTGAAATGGCGTGCTCACCAGCAACACTAGGAATATGGCTGGTAGGGGCAGATAGAGGGCAAACTATTAGTCAAGAGCCAGTGGCTGAAGTTCTGATAAGAAATAGCACTGGGCCTAATCTCACGCATGTTGAGATTCACTCTTTTACTGCAGTTTTTTTCCTGAAAGCTGCAGCCCTGGGTTTGGGGGAGAGAAATGGTTTCACTTGTTTGCCGTAACTACTAGATTTAAGAAGGCTTGGAAGCCTTGCAAGAGAAGGGTGAGAGATTGCAAGCTGGTTTGTCTCATGCATTAGTCTGTGTTTCCTGGAAATTTGGAAGTGGGTTACAAGGGAGATGAGCAAGGTGCTGGGTTAGTCTTCTGTGATAGGTTTATATCACAGACCTCTTCCCTTTTATCTCATCAGAGTGGCACATTTGACAGCAATTTGTTAGCAAAGTTCTATAATTGCAAAACAAAGTTCTTCAAATCAGGGGCATCTGGCAGAAGTGCATGTGGCATAGTTGCAGTGTCCACCTATCCTCAGACTGTGAGCAGTGCTTCCATTCTCTGATTTACAAGAGGATTTCAGCTAGGGAACTGTCACCAGACATTTTAACCATAAGATCCGACATCAAACTATGGCAATTTGTCAGAACTTACTAATCAAATATGTACACAATTCACTACACCCTTTTATTTCTGTGGGGAGACAAAAGTGTCATAAACCAGCCAAGGGAAGCTGGAGTGCTGGCTTTAAATGTGGAAATGCCCTTTGTTTTCAAAGAACAGGAAAAAAGTTACAGCTACCAGTTGGGCTCTGGATTGAGATAGCTGTATTGTAGCCTGATTACTTAGATCAGATTTTTTTTTTTGCTTAGAAATAATAATGATTTGTATGCTGACCTGACTGGCAAGGAACGGTAAGAGAGTCATGGCCATCATTTTATCTTTGTAAGTCAAGCATTGTGAATTGCTTGTGCCTTTTGGAGCAGCAAATAAAGCACAACATACTGGCAGAATTGCCACATTTTCAGACAAACATTTGCAGTCAGAATTTTAAAAGAAATAATGATAAAGAGGCCTTGTTTGACTTTCAGTCTTTTATTAGGCACAGACCTTATCAGTTTTATTATGTCTTCTTTTCGTGCGCTGTGAAATTAAATGTATATGCAGGTACCCTGGTAGATGACCAATATTAAAAATGAATAAAACTTTTACAAGTGTTGGATCAATTTAATCTTCAATGTGTTAATAGTTGATGGCACCATGCTCAATGGACTGACCTTTGTAATGACACGTGATTCTTTTATAACAGCAAGAAAGGGGAGTAGTGTTCTTTGAATTTAAATAATAAAAAGTGACTAATGCTGAACAGGACACGGGAATAGTAAACTGGTGTTTGAACAGTCAGACTTGTGCCAGGTGGCTTTATATCATTCTGGACAATGCAGCCTCTAGAGGGAGACATAAATGCACACATCTCTGCTTATGGATAAAAGGACATGGGTCCTGATTCAGTGCCCACTAGCCTGTGAAAAGGTTGTCATTTGCTGTAGTGGGTGCCAGATTGGGTCCATTCTAGAAGAGGACAAACAGATTCTCGCTGTTGAAGACCAAACCAAATGTATCATTACTTGGACAGATCTGCCACTCCTCTGCTGGGTTTCTTATTTACAGCTTAGGCATTGATTTCCTTTTGCAGGTCTAGAACCTGAGGCGCACATTGAGAGTAGTGAATGCTACCTTTTCAAATTTGTCCCACAAAATGAATAACTTCCTTGCAACACTTGCTGTTTTACTTACTTCTGTGACATTGCACATTGTGAAAGGTGTCACCATGTAGTGTTACAGTAGCCAAAATAAATGCAGGGCATGGTAGTACCTGTCAAAGTCCAGCACTGTTCTATATATTTTGTGAAGATGGTAGTTTTATCTTTGAAGGAGCTACTGCATAACAGAAAGGGGTAGAACATAATGCATATGCTTTACATGCCAGAGGTGACGGCTTTCTAGTTTGAAACACTGAGACTCTCTGGAACTCCAAGGTCACATCCTGATAGGATCAATTCATTCCTGCAGCCTTTTGAAGAGTTCCTGGAGTTTACCCTTCTGGGGATTTTGAAATCAGAGCTTGAGGTCTTGTCTACTCTCTATCAATATAAAAGATCCCATGTGGCACACTTCGTAAGAATAGTGCATTAGATCATTGTCCGTGCCCAAAATAAATCTTTCTTGCCTACCTTTGTGTGGCCTTCAGTGTGTTCAGTACCCACTGTCTAGTCTCAGGAAGGACTGCATTTCAAAAAGGCCATGCTGACAGAGTTGTTCCATGTGAGTGGACACCTGCGCTCACACAGGGTAACTTGAAGGATAGGGGCACAGATTGTAAACTGGAACTTCAACCAAAATCCCCCTTTACTTCCCAGCAGTCTGACTCTTTGTACCCTTCCTACCTTCCTGCTGTGAACATTTCATTCTCACTGATACTACAGTCTTCACTGCATCACTGTTAAACTCTGTATCTAAGAGACTGTGAAAGGTGAAAAGACACTGGATCTTAAAAGTTCTGTGACTTTCATCTTCATTCTTTAAGTCCCTGTAGACAGCTGTTAACTGAAGGGCAAACCTTAAAGTCCCTACTTAGTTCTTACTGAGACAAAACCCTCACGAGGGCTTCAGATTTTGGCCCTGCCTGATAGACCCGCAGGAGACTGACTACGGCTGCAGTCACATCTTCTGTTTTACAGTCCATTGCATAACATAAATATTTTTCTCTCCCCCAATGCTGCCTGCGCAGTTGGAGCTGCAGGTAGGTTTGTTTGTTTTGCTGTGTCTAACCTAACGGAACGTAACAAAGTTGCCTGCCATGTCATTTTGTGCAACCTCTGCATAATGTCTCTGGCTGGAATCTGCATTGTTGACGGTCCTTTGTTTTCTCTTTTGTATACAGACCATGCACAAAATCGAGTGTTGTCTCAGTAACAAAGTCTTCACATTCTTTTTAGTTCTCTTCCCACTGGTCCACATATTCAGCTGCTTAAAACATATTTAAATGAATCTGAAACTACCTGGGGGGGGGGGTGTTAATTGATAAAATACTGTCCCACTGGTCCTCAGAATCTAGTAGAAGACTTTCTGGTACCTGTGGCAGAGCCATCTTTCTGTTTACACATCATCAATCCTTTGTCTCATCCCAAATTCTCCAGTATCTAAAAGTAGTCCCAAGTTGCTTTAGGTGGCCTTTCTGCATCTACTCGAAAGCTATGATCTTCCAATTGGAAGGGAAACAAAGGTTTTATGCCTTCCATACCTAGAGTCCTTTGGAGGAATGGGAAATTTCTTCTTCTCTGTGTGTTTGACTGTTTGTCTAACCAAGCGACAAACTTTCTCTCAATTCTGGTTCTCCAAGGGCTTCAGCCTGTCATACAAACATTACAGTGCCCTTCTGTGTACCTAATTTTGGTGGTTTATATCAATCCACAGACATCTGAGAAGTCTATCAAAGATCACATCATAAACCTCTCTGACTTCACATAGCAGTATCTACTTAGGAAATACTGAATATGGAGCTACATGCAATTTGGGAGGGTGGGGCCAGGGGAGGGGAACATTCCCAAGTAACTTAGGTGACCAACATTGGACCAAATACGATCAATCTTAAAATCTAACTGGCATGTGGAGAAATGGTCACAGCTAGCCAGCATAAAAGTCATGTTTAAACAAAATATCCTTTAGCCTTGTTCGTAATAACATTTTCTGTTACAGCCATGAGAATTTAAAACATCTAATATACTTCTACCATTTGCATTTTACCTGCTTTGAATGTAAATGAAAATAAATCATTTATTTACATTTGTAAACATGATTATCAAATGTCTTTCAACACATTTAGAAAAATAACTTAAATAACAAAGAAACAGTTACGGCAAATAACTGGACAGGCCACTCAGCATTGAAACTGGTCTGGTCAGTTTCACTCCTAATTTCTAGTAATTTTCAATTTCTAATTTCTTTTGTACTGACACATTAATGTAGTACTGGTTTACATCCCAGTGTAAAGGAAATGTTTAAATGCAAAAGTAAATGGGAAAAGTCAGAAGAACATTTGTACTGATAGGTTTTGTAAGGCCAGTATTTTTTTTCAAAAGCTAAATGATAATCCTGAAACTAGTTGACAGGATCTTTTAAATGAACAGCGTCTCCAAGGCAGTTCTGACAGTCATGATGTTGACATATAGTACAGTACGTATAAACATAGGAAAGGCCACAATTGTTCAGCTATACTATACCAGAAACATGAGGAAGGTATAAAAACTCCTCCAGAGATGAGGAATTAATGGCTGAGAAAAGGAACCTTTCTTACTTTTGGATCCTCTCTTCAAATCCATGCGACTGTAGAAGAGGCTGAAGAAGGGACTTCTTGCTGTCATACAGCAACTTAAGTGTTAACACTTCATCCATTGCCCACTGAACAGGTGTTTATGTCATAGTTAATCCAAACTGATTGTCTCAACAGAGACATTCATGCATGTGGGCTAAGCATAATATTTGAATCAGGATCCATTATGATGCTCTGAGAATAGAATTTTGCTCTAAGATGAGCCTGACAGCTTTTGTAACACGCTATTCATTTTGGTTATCAATAATCATATCTTATATATACTATACCAGTAAAGAAGAGCCTGACTGGCAGTCTGGAGAGTGCAGCTATCTATGATTTTCTGTAAGGATGTGTTGTTTGATCTTTTATAATCTCTCTGATATAGAAAGATGCCAGGTGTCATCATTGTTTCAGATTCCGAAATTCAGTACTGTTAGTGCTGAGAAAGGAAACAGACAAAAATGGTGGGAAAAGGTGTGTTATTGTCAAGGGTCTCTGTAGTAGACAGGAGGATTTATAAGCCTTAAAGGGCCAATGTCTGTAGTCCAGATTGTTTTCTGGTGTCAACTGGAAATCCCCTGTGAGATCACAGGGGTGGTGGTAGAGCAGTAAAACATCTTGCTGTGACTCTTGAGCGATGATTCTCAATCTTTTTAGTCACAGCACCTCTCCACCACTCCTTTGAATGTGGCAGATCCCTGGGTGAGAATCTCTGTTGGTGCTACTTCAGCTTATGTCAGTGATTCGCAAATGGGTGCTGCTGCCTGCAGGTAAAACTGCCCTGTATGCTTGTTGTGACACCAGACTGAGAAGGGTTGCGGCACATGCGCATGCTCCTCCTGTATAGTGTCTCGTGGAAACAGAGGTGTATGGGGCAGGTGGACCTGCCCATGTGTGTTTGTTTCTGAGAGGAGTGTGGGTGGGAACCGGACCAGGAAGGACTGCAGCATGACTTAGCTCTCCTGCCTGCTTTAGGGTTGTCAGAGAATCCTAATGCAGCAAGAGAGCGCACACACTTGCTACAGCCCTGCATGTGGGCCAGTTGTATCTGCTGCCACAGTAGTAGCATCACCTGCTTTGTGGTATACTTGAGGTGGTATTGTGCACCCTGGATAAGAACTGCTGCTTTAGAGGCTGTGAGTTTAGGCTCTCCTCAGTCAACCCAGCAGTAAGTACAATACATCATTAGTCCTGGGGAATCAAAGGCAACCAGATGTGACCACAGAAACGCATATACCTTGACCATGCTGGGTCCTAGGCTCAGGACACCTTTGGCCTGGGACATCAATGCTGTTATGTTGATTGTTAAGAATTGGTACTGGAGGGAAATTTGCATTGCAGTTTTTTAAAGTATTTGTTTTCCTAATAAATGCCTGAAGTTAAAGGAGAATTACATATTTTGTATTTAAAAATACATTGTTATATACACAACATAAAAACGCAAGCATGAGATTCTGTTGCTCTGTAAATGTGTGGAGGGATTTGGATCTGATGACTCCAGGATGAAATTTGGGCTGGCGGTTTTTAAGAGGGCTGACTTCTAGATGTAAGAGCTGGAAATTGAGAGTCAGTGTATTTGGGGTCTGTCTGGCTTTACCATTGGCTCTCGATGTGTGACTTTGAGGAAACCATTGCACCACTCCTTGCCTCAGTGCTCCCATCTGTAAAGCAGAGATGGTGATACCTGCCAGGGGTCCTGCGAGCCATGAAATGTCTTCAGGGCTGAAAAATGTCTGTAGTCGTGTACTTGATTTTATGTATTCTCTCTACTGGAATGAAAGGGTGAATTGCTCTTTTGGAGTTAAGACTTCAGGGAGGGCTATTCAGATTTTCTTCGTGTATCCATAACCCAGTACTCCAAAGTAACTCCCAAGGTGCCTTCTAATTCCAACAGAGCAGCTTCTTATGTTACTTTGTCAGCATCTGCTGTTTGACAAACACTAAGGACAGCAGTGTATGCCAGCCAAGAAGCTCCCATAGGAAAAGAGAGTAGAAACTGCTCTGCCAGAGAATTCTGGTGTCTAAGGCCCTGTCTTCACTACATGGGGAAGTCTGCTAATAACAAACATCTTTAAACAGCGATGCCAGCAGTATTCTAGTGCTGTTTCTCCAACCAGCATGATTATGTTTTTAATGGCTGAGAAGCTAGGTAGAAAGGGACATCAGTAAATAATGGAGGGGAAATCCTGCCTTGATGGGGTAAAAAAAAAGCTTTGATCTCAGTAGCACCAAGAGAGAAACTGCAGAATCACTGTGCCATTTCAACTTCCTGCTGCAGTGTAATATGGGCTTTCACATACAAAAGCAAACAGTATGCTCCCATATTTACCACTAGGCAGCATAAAAAGCCCTCATCCACTACTGAAATGCAGGCCTTGCAGGCAAATGGCTATTTCTACAGGCTGCAGGTCTGGCTGTGACTGCTCCTTTAACAGCCACACAGGTATCATGAGTTGGAAAGCTCCTCCAGATTTATCTAGTCTAGAAGTTGAGAGAAGGAAAGAAATACCAGTTATGAAATGTTAAAGAAAAAGTAGCTTGAAGGAAAACAAATACCAGTTATGAAATGTTAAAGAAAAAGGAGCTTGAAGAAAACCAGCCACTGAAAAAGGAGAAAGGGTGAGAAGAAAGGATATGCAGGAGAAAGAAAGAAAGAAAAAGTGGATTGAAGGAAATGGAAAGGAGAAGGAAGAGCAAAAGCAGGAGAGACATAGTAAGTTAATTTTTAAAATGCATTTTGAATAGATTTTAATGAGAAAATGTTATAAAAAATCTTCTTTGAGTGAACCACATAATTCTGCCCTTTAGCTCTCTCAAACTGTGTGTACACTTGTTGTTTTTTCTCTCTCTCCTTCAGCCTCAGATACACATACATGGTGTACATTCAGTGGTAGAATTTTGTAGTTCACTCATAAGATATAACCCATTGTATTTGAGGCTTTTCATCTGCCTCTTCTGCAATGTTTTTACAGTTCTTCTATTCAGTAATAAAGAGATGGCTTGGGTTGTCATGAGGTCCATACAAACATCTACCACCAGGAGAAGCATTATGTTGTAGCTGCAGATATCTCATGTTCCCTGATGCAGAAACCAACAGTCTGAAATGATACAGAATTTCACAGGACCATAGACAGGCAATGTGTGTGAGGACATGGCCATGTGTCAGGGTTCCTGAATGTGTTGGATAATCTTTGAAAATAAAAACAGAGAAAGTGGGAACTGCCAATACCTGGCACCTCTTGGGTGCAGCCCTATAGCTAACAGGGAACATTTAGTTTACACTACAGAAAAATCTGCCAAATACAGTTAGAGAAGGGGAGATGAAGTTGGGATTTGTGAGTTCTGTTCCTGACTCTTTTGTTAATTCCAAGTAACTATAGGTGTGTCCCCTAATCTCTTTGTCTGTTCCCCCATCTCTTTGAGGGTGATAATAGGCACTTACCTCAGAGGGCTCTTTTGAGATTTAACTCGTCACTGTCTTGGGTTACTTGAAACTGGACAACTTATGTACATAAAATATGTCCAGAATGATTAACGCTGACATGCTTTATTGGGTTTCTTTTTCAGAATGCAGCTCTTCAGCACCTGTTCATCCGAAAGTCCTTCCGTCCTTTTAAGTGTCTGCAGTGTGGGAAGGCCTTCCGGGAAAAGGACAAGTTGGATCAGCACCTGCGGTTCCATGGGCGGGAAGGAAATTGCCCTCTGACCTGTGACATCTGTAACAAGGGCTTCATCAACAGTGGGGCCCTGGAGAGTCATATGAAGTTCCACTTGGACCAGAAAACCTACTCCTGCATTTTCTGTCCAGAATCTTTTGACCGCTTGGATTTGCTCAAAGATCATGTGGCCATCCACATCAATGATGGCTATTTCACCTGCCCTACTTGTAAAAAGCGCTTTCCAGATTTTATCCAGGTGAGTGCCATGCTGATCACCCACACTGGCTTCCAGGCCTTTGGCCTGCATTATGATTCCCACCGTCTTGGTACAGCTTCCATTCTGCCTTAGAGCAGCTTATGCTGCAAGTCACAACACACTCTCAAATTAAGCGGGATCTGCCTGGGTCAGCACTTGAATGGAAAACTGAGAGTATTTTGTAGATGGCTTTCCACTGAGTCAGTAATCACCAACGCCTCATCATGATACTAGTGTATATTGTCCTATGGTTGGAGATGGAGTCTCTTGGACATGAAGCAGAGGTCCTAACTATTTACTGGCAGTTAAGACCCTGGTATAAAAGTGTTTGTTTTTTTGCTGGAGAGAGTAGATCTCAGAATGGACACTTGTCTCTACTTGGTAAATCTGTATATCATACAAAATGTATTACATATGTATATACACATGCATAGATTTATATACATTTATTTTAATATCCATTAGCCTTCATTGCAAAAGTAGTACTGTTGAAAACTGTGCAGTAAATCAGAGCAGTTTAGTACGTTCTGTTTCCCAGAATTTCTCCTGTAGTTTCAGCGGGGGACTTTATTATTCTTCATTTCCACATTCTGTGGTAGAAATGGCTGCATTGGAGCAGTGAGTAATATAACTGTTTTGTGCAGTTTGCAGCGTTGTTCAAGATGAACTACACTATTAGAAAATACTATTTTCTTGTTCAGTAAGAAAAATATAAACGTACCTTGAAGATGCTCATTACATTTAATAGGAATAAAGAAGACGATAGATATCTTATTAAGCTGCCTGGACCTAAATCTAAATCAGGAAATCCATTTTTAAGTAAAGTGATAAATTCAGGAACTGAGAAGCATTATTTAGAAGGCCAATGAACAAAAGATACAGGAGGGGAATTATTAAAATGAACCCTTGTCCTAAAGTAATTCCAGCTTCTGTTAATCTGGAAAAGACAGAAAATGATAATAAGGCAGTTACACTGTGCAATGAGCTGCACCCCCATAAATTTTCTTTTGAAACTGATCAAGAAAGTGAAAGGAGCCCAAATTCTTTCTAGTTTTCAGCTCTACTTTGGAATTTAAAGATAAATTTTTCATATGTTGCTGTATGAATAATTCAATCTAGTCATTCTGTGAATCATTGTCTGCTTCCTGAGCCCTTTATGTTGAACAGATATAGATACCAAACGGCTCCATGCGTGATCAGAGCAAGAAGAAAATAAAAAATTCAGCAAAAATCTAGTTCTCCAGCATTTCTGGGATTGGCAATGTTAAACCTCACCAGCTTTTTCCTCACTTGCTCTTTTATTAAAAAACATGTTGCACGCCTGATGAGGCAAAGAAATTCCCAAAATATGCAAAGGAAATTGCCAGGCAAGAAAATGTTCAAGACGAATTGCTGCTTAATTCCCATGTATTCTGTAACTGCATCTGATTCTTTCTGATTAAAAGGGATCAGTCCCTGTTCTCAAATTCCTTGCAAATAAAGTTCAGGGAACAAGCATCAGCTGAATATGGTAACTTGAAGATGGTGATCTAGTAAGACCCTTGCCACTTTGTCAGGGATCTTTCTGTTGTCCTTAAGTTACCCAGCCATGCAATAGCAGGTGCCTTCAAGAAATTATTCCTGAAGAAATCAAATTGCCTATGATAATCTGGAACAAAGATAGGAAGCTTCATTCTTTCTGCTGTTATCATCTGTTAAGTTGTTATCAGCACCCTAAATATTCTGGTAAACTGCTGCTTTTGCACTACAGCAAACTAGAAAACTTGTACAAACTCTTTTGGCCCATCTCCAAATCTCCCAGATGTAAGAAGAATAGGATTCTGAAGCACCACTAGGAAATTGTTTTGTCTAATCCCGTTTTCTTGGAAACTGTTATTCAAGGCTGTACAGTATCTCATGCTGATGGACTCTGTCCAAAGGAAAGAGCTTCAGTAGTAACCTAGTCTCCCCCTACCGTTGCTAAGAGCTCCTGAGACCATTCCCCAAGCTGTTCTCTCCATGTCTGAGTGCACTTTTTTGTGCTCTGCACTGCCAGGTGAAGAAACATGTGCGCAGTTTCCATTCGGAAAAGATTTACCAGTGTACAGAATGCGACAAGGCTTTCTGTCGTCCCGACAAGCTGCGGCTCCACATGCTGCGACACTCAGACCGCAAGGACTTCCTGTGTTCCACCTGTGGCAAGCAGTTCA